CATTGAAAACCTGTATCACCTGTACATTACAACAGAGATACAACAATGCATTTTGATTTTGGGAGGCCTAAAGTAAAAAAAAATCAGGATGGTCCAAACAGCAATGTCATGCTCAACGGTATCTCACGACCAATTCGTATGAATTCGTACGAGTGATTAAAAAGTGGCTAATTTGTGCTAATTCATACGACCTCACTCATACGAATTCGTACGATTTGTCTAAGTTTAGGGGTGGGGTCAGGGGTTAGTCATTCGTACGAATTCTTACGAATTGGCCAACTCGTAAAATATGTACGATTTAGCAAAAAGTGAGGTACGAATTGTTACGAATTAGCCACCTCGTAAAATTCACATGAATTGCCGTGAGATCGGGTTGGTTATTATGCTTTATTTGAGGGTTACACCACATGACATTTTTAGACTCATTAGATTTAAAAAAAAAATGGAGAAGTTTTTCAAAATTGAATAAAAACTACATGAATGCAAAAAGTACAAATTCGTACTAATTCATACGACCTCACTCGTACGAATTCGTACGATTTGTCTAGGTTTAGGGGCGGGGTCTGGAGTAAGTCATTCGTACGAATTCATACGAATTGGCCAACTTGTAAAATATGTACGATTTAGCAAATGTGAGGTCGTACGAATTGTTATGTATAAGCCACCTTGTAAAATTCGTACTAATTGCCATGAGATCGGGTTGGTTATGCTTTATTTGAGGGTTACACCACATGATATTTTTAGACTCATTAGATTTAAAAAAAATTTAGAAGTTTTTCAAAATTGAATAAAAACTACATGAATGCAAAAAGTACAAAGAATAACTTGGCACAAATTCGATTTTAAAAAACTTTATTTGTCATTATCGTATACGCTGATTGTCATTGACCTTTTAAACAAAAATCAAAAGTATTTTGTTTCCAAGATGAACTGGATTCAATTACACATGTAACATAACACAGTTTGAATGATTTATCATTCAGAATTCATATACAGAAGGAAGTGATGGAACTTAAAGTCTTTTTGTCTGTCTTTTGGTATGTAGATCACATGATTTGATAACTTTGTAATGCATTGCATCTTAATCCAGTAGTTTCATAAGACAAACCCATAAGTTTAAGTTGTTTGCAGCCTCATATTTTTCGGTTGCCATCCAGTGTGGAGTCTCTGCGGAGCCTGTTCTCGTATCATGTAAATAAGAGTGTAGAGGTGTGGTCTGATGGACAGCTATGTTCGGCGTCTGGAATGCAGTGAACGCGAGCATTAGCGCGTCTGTCTCCAGAGGGAGTTCGTCTAACACCCACATGACAAGAGCTGACACATCCCCTCTCTTAGTCCACCGTTAGCAAAACAGAGTCCTAAAAACACACCGGCACTGAGATCTGGCCTGCCTAGAACTGCCACCGTTCCCCATAACGCTGACTGAATTGTGCCTCACTGTAGAAGTGGATGTTTGACTGCAAGTTTATAGCCGTATTAATGATATTTATATACAAGGAGAGAGAGAGAGAGAGAGAGAGAGAGAGCATTCACTCCTGCCCATATTTCAGCTCCATGTCTATTTTTAAAGCAGTAGTTCACCTAAGAATTACAGTTTGGTTTTCATTTACTCATCCTCATGTTGTTCAAAACATGTGTTTTTGTGCTAGTTCCTCGACTGGTTTGTACCTTTAAACTATGAGTGAATAGAGCCTGCTTTATCTTTGCTATTTTTAGTTATTGCCGCCTTAAAGGAGTAGTTCACTTTTGAAAAAACTTTTGCTGATAATTTACACACCCCATGTCATCCAAGATGTTCATGTCATTCTTTCTTCAGTTGAAAAGAAATGAAGGTTTTTGATGAAAACATTCCAGGATTTTCATATAATGGACTTCAATGGGAACCAAACGGTTCAAGGTCCAAATGAGAGTTTCAGTACAAACTGCAAACTGTTCAAAGGGCTTTAAACGATTCCAGACGATGAATAAGAGTCTTATAAAACGAAACGATCACTCATTTAAAAAAACAACAAAGTTTATAAACACAAATGCTCGCCTTACTCTGTACTCTGTGATGCGCGTTCATGACTCTCCTGTTCGAACTCGTTCATCAAAATGAACAAATCTTTTTCAAGAGTCATTTGGTTCATTCAACGAACGAAATGAACAAATTAACTCGGAAAAAGATTCGTTCATTTTGATGAACGAGTCCGAACAGGAAAGTCACGAACGTGCATCACAGAACAGAGCAAGGCGAGCATTTGAGCTTATAAAACTTAAAAAAAATGTTTTTTTGATAAGACCCTTATTCATCGTCTGGAATCGTTTAAAGCCCTTTGAACAGTTTGCAGTTTGCACTGAAACTCTCATTTAGACCTTGAACCGTTTGGTTCCCATTGAAGTCCATTATATGAAGAAAAATCCTGCATGTTTTCATCAAAAACCTTAATTTCTTTTCGACTGAAGAAAGAAAGACGTGGACATCTTGGATGACATGGGGGTGAGTAAATTATCAGCAATAGTTTTTTTTTTAAAGTGAACTACTCCTTTAACTTCAACACGAGACATTTTCTTCAGCACGAGTTTCACGTTTCTTTTGATTGACAGGACATACATGGCCCTTATAATTGGCTGTTTTTAAATAATCGTCTGATGGTCGATAGTGAAAATAATAGATTTTATCGGCTGATATTGGTGCATCCCTAGTTAAAACAGCAATTCTGATTTTATGTAGACAAAACAAACACACCCCTACTTTCAAGCTCTCAAAAGACAACAAAGCACCATAAAAACCTGTGACTTGTGCACAAAATTACAAACTATAGAGCTTTGTGTGAGGAACAGACAGAAATTTAAGTCTATAACTATGGGAAATATTGTCTTGACAAAATCATGGTTAGTATCTAATTTTTTTGTTTAGAGGAGCTTGGACATTCTGCTAAATATCTCCTTTTGTGTTCCTCAGAAGAAGGAAAGTCATACAGTAACTATACCTTTTAAAGAGAGGGCTATGAAAGGGCAAGATATAAATATGCTCTGTCATCTCCTTTATACCTCTGGGCATTGACTCTGGCTCACCACAAAATCAAGAGGATGTCCTATCCCAAAGAAAAATGAGTCTAGTGTTACCAAAGCAAACCTACTACGTCTGCTTTCATGTGCTTTCAAGGCATCTCTCGTGTTCATTTCCAAACAGAAAGGACATGATCCCGTTTTCAGCACTTTTTATATTATGAACATTTAGACATTTTGTATCTAATGATATATTTACAGTAAAGGTCTCGCTTTCTATGTGAAAGTGTGCTTATGTTGTGTGGTGTCTTTAAAGTGTGCTTAGTATCTCGAGGAAGTGGAGGGGCTTTGAAATCTTATAGGGGAGTTCACTACAAATACACACCTCCGGAGTTGCTCGCCAGGGAAGCGACGTGTCCCCAACTGCCTGCAAAAGCGCACCTCTGTCCTGTTCACGGTCCTGCCGGGCAAAGCCGCAAGACAAACAGTTTTTGTTTTTCTTTCTATGCGCTCTGCAAAAGTGCATGACTGGCAGTCTGGTTACATCAGCTGTTATCTCTCCAGTCAACAGTAAGAGTCTACGGATGGATGAACCCATGTATCTGACGTCAAACGCTGTCGAGATGTAACCGATACAGGCTCGGCCTGTCAAAGTCTTCTGTTGTTGTTGATGATGTACTTTTGAATGTATCAGATTACGGACATTTGAAGGAGTAGGTTTCTCAGTGTGTTTGGCCTCCTGCCCTAGGCAATAGTATGGCAACCTAAATTGCAGCAGATAAAAAAGTTCTTGTGTTGGTATTAAATTGTTTTGAAAAACTTTAAAAGTTTAATTTTAGTGATAAAAATCATAAATATATTTTATTCATAGTTTATATATTACATGTTTAATAATTATTATTTTATAAATATCATTATTATTTTTTGATGTACCATATGACATTTTACACCCTAAAGTAGTCTTGACTTTTCATTAAAAGGTCAAAATATCTGAGATTTTAGGCTGACCTTGGCACAAAATGTGTTTTGTCCCCCCCCCCCCCTTCATTTTGGTCACATCAAATGACTTTAATTTGTGAGAAAAATTGATTATATTTAAATATATATCTGTGTTGTGAATCACGTTGTGAAGTAATCACATCTAACATAAATGTTTGTAAAATATTATATACACACATATATATATATGTGTGTGTGTGTATGTGTATGTATATATATATATATATATATATTAGGGCTGTCAAATGATTAATCATGATTAATCGCATCCAAAATAAAAGTTTGTGTTTACATGATATATGTGGGTGCACTGTGTATAATTATTTTATATATATATATATATATATATAAATAAAAAAACAAACACATGCTTGTATATATTTAAGAAATATTTTAATGTATATACTGTATATAGATATATATATAATTTATATTATATATACATATTTTTATATATAAATCATATTTTTTCCTTAAATATACAAGCATGTGTGTGTATTTATATATATATATATATATATATATATATATATACAAAATAATCAATTAACACACACGCATATATATAGCCTACTGTATCATAAAAGTTTGTAAATACAGAATATTGTATATATATATATATATACACACTGTATTTCAACATTTATTTTAGGTGTGTCTAATCACGATTAAAACTATTTCTAAAAAATTTTACAAAATAATCCCAAGAAATATTTCTTCATTATATCATAACACTTCAATATAAAATATAAAATCAAAACCCCCCTGAGATGTTTTTTTTCTTGTGCCCTACCAAAGATAAAATGAGTATTAATATAGAGATTAAACACTATGATTCTACGACAAACATTGTTTAATATATGTAAAAAAGGAGAAAACAAAAAAACAGTGTCGTGTCATTGACCCAACCACTTTAGCAGTGGCGACAAGTTCTGAATAGCCAGGCCCAGTTCATTTATTCAGAAAGTATTTGAACTAATACACATTTCGTTCACTCTTTTTTCTTTCAGATTTCGCCATGAGTGAGGAGACCGTAGTGTGGGTGTAGCTTTTCACTGGAGCAAGAAGCAAGATATCAGAAACAACAGCGTCCACACTCCCACAAAGGAGACGATGGGCGAAGCTGAAGATGGGCAGGCAGGACGTCTGTTTGAGAACTTTGTTCAGGCCACTGACTGTAAAAGTACCCTACAGGCCTTCAATATAATGTGCAGTTACCTGGATCTGGACCCTCTGGAGCACAGCACCTTCTACAGCAGTTTGAAGAGCGTGATGACGTGCTGGAAGGCCAAAGCCCTGTGGAGTAAACTGGACAAGAGAGCCAGCCAAAAAGAGTACAAGAAAGGCAAAGCCTGTGAGGGCATTAAGGTAACGCTTGCAGAATGCCAAGACAATAACAATACTGGAATATGTTATGATGTTCAAATGAGCTGGCCAACCTTTGTAAACCAAACATTTATAGATCCCCTCTCAGATTTTCCCTGATTTTTGTATGATATAACATCATTATATGATATCATAGACACATGTTGTTCATTAGACGAGTGCTCTCTGGTTTTAGTGGCGACATCATCAAGCTCTTTTATTGATTAGTAGTGTGTGTGTGCAGTAAAGCCCCGTTCACACCGCCAGCGACTTTGCCGCTGTATGTCGCTGGTCTCTGTACTGTGAAGTCGCTTGTGGGCTAAGGCCGTGTGTCCACCAAGGCGTTTTTCCACGCGCCTGGCGTATGTTTTCAATTGTTTTCAATGGGAGCGCCGCGTTTTTTAAACGCCATGAGCGTACCGAGGCGCTGAGCGTTTTTTTCACGCTGAAGCGCCCAGCGTTTTTACTGGTCGCTGGGAGTTGAAAAATGTTCAACTTTGGATAAAACACAGCACTCATCACTGTCACTTTTTACCCAGCCGTCCAATCACAGTGGAGGAGGGGCGGGACTAATACCACACTGACCAACTGTCAACATTCAAACTGCAGCGGATATTCTGTATCATAGCAACGAAACGTCTAAACGGAAAAAAACGCTGCGCTGCCAAAACGCTCTCAAGCGCTCAAAGCACGGCGTCTTCAGCAGAGCGTCTAGCGTTTTCAGCTGGATAAAAACGCTTTGGTGGACACACGGCCTAATAGTATTGGTAGACTGCATACGTCTGGTATGGCGGCAGTATCATATCAATAATCACGAGAAGATTTGAGATCCTTGCGAGAGGAAATGAGATCCGCGCGCACAAGCGAAAGTTGCACGTATGCATATTACTTTTGCGCGCAGGATTGTAACCCGCGAGGAGAAAACTGTGCTTTGAGCGCGCGCAGAATCCCATGTACACTGCTCGCGATACTCTAACCTGGTTGCTCGCTCACGGTTAATCCTTTTGGGAGTAGGTGGGCGGATCCAGTCGGCATCATTTCACTGGTCTAGTCCACTTCAATAGGGCTGGGTATCGATTCACATGTTCAATTTCGATTCGATTTCAATTCGCAAGCTCTCAGTTCAATTCGATTTCGATTCTCGATTCAATTTTCGATTTCGATTCCTGATTTGATTCTCGATTCGACTATAATGAATATAGATGTAATACAAATCCTATATTTATAAAAAAAAAAAGAACAGTGAGCCTATTTCACAATGAGCCTATTTCCAAAAAAAGTGGAGTATCCCTTTAACATGCTCCTGTTTGTGGAGATTTTTAGATGGATGGCGAGACTTTTTTGGTCGGGTTGGATCTGTAATCACTGACCCAGTTTGTTTGCTGGCTTCTATTGGTGCAATACGTTGTGTTTTCCACTAACTGGCAACCCTGCGTGTGGAAATACTATTGAGTAAATTGGCAGTGGGCGAATCACATGGACCAAAACAAAAACAGACGTTGCGACACGGAAACGCACATTTCAAAGTAAAATAACTGGCTGTAGAAGTGTTTTTTCGGAGAAAAAAGTGTGTGAACTTAGCATGTTTCCAACATATAATGGTATTTTTTATGCTTTAGTACAGTCAAAAAATGACTAAGTTTAACATTTAAGTTTCCACTATCTGTCTCTAAGGGCCTTCGATGTTTGACTTGGGATCAGTGTGCTTGTGAGTTACACTCATCAAACTGAAGATCAAACTGGCCGGTTCATTATGATAACTTCCCCATCACACACACACTTTGAAAGGCTGCATGAGCCAGGCCCAACTTATTGTTATTGAGTGTTTGAAGTATTTCAAAGAGAGCATCATTTAACAAGTTCACTTCATAAGGGCAATAAACAGCCTATTGTTTCTGATGTGAAGCAGTGTAATTATGCAGCTTTTTAGAGTGAAATTTACTTCTTTGTAATAAAGGTGTTAATTATGTACAGTAGTCCTGACTAAAGGCTGTTCTGCACAGTTTAATCAAAGCCAGCGCTGCGTTGCCCAATGGCACTGTTTCAGACAAGCCATGTATGCTGTAACTGCATAATGGATCATACCTGTAGGAGTGTTTAAATAAGCATTTGACCCTTGCTAAAAAGTACATGCACCATTAAAACAATGTTACGAGTGAGCGAGCTGCCTGTGACAAGATGGCCGCCAGGTGCCGACGTCGACCTCCATTGCCAGCAGTGCTGGGATTTTGAAGCAGATTTTGTAGCCTAAATTACAATAATGGATGGCGCCGTCGAACATCACTCGTTCAAATCAGCCACCGGGTCTATTTTAAGCGATTTGAACGTTTCCTTTTTGTTAAAAACCGTGCAAAGAACAACACTCGGAAATGTTTCTCCGCCGCTCTGCATACGTCATCTCCTTCATTACTCTGATTGGTTTTAGGTCTATCCGCGACGTCCGTTGGCGACGCCCCTCTGGAAATGATTTGTCTATGACGCTTTGCCAGACCATAACTCAGTTACAACTGAGAATGGTCTGGTTTTAACCAGCCTACATGCAAGGTAAATTTTTATTGAAATGAGACTTGCATGACTTCTCATTCTAAAAAATGCTTGGTTACAAACCATTTCTAGGTTATTTTTTGACATATTGCTAGGTCAGTCAACCTGATATTGAATGTTTTTCATTTCAAATAATAAAAATTAGGGATGCACCGATATGAACATTTTGGCCTATATTAATGATATGTTTTATATTTGAAAGCCGATAACCGATATATCGGCCGGAAAATCTAAATCCAATTTTTTTTAAAATAATTTTTGAAAGCCAGATTGCAAAAACAAAAGTCTCACAATTAAAATCCGTTCCCTAACACAATTATAATGTTCTCATTATAATTTCATGTAGCCGATATGACAGCACATTTAACTATATTTTCCTTTTTGATTCCAATTATTTCAAGCAATTAAGATCAATCATGTTGAACAGTGCGCATCTCAAGTGTTGAAGGAAATAATTCATTATTTATCAGCTTCAATATATCAGCCAAATGTTATTATCGGGCCGATAACGAACGATAACATAAAAATGAACAAATATCGGCCGATACCGATATGGTGGCCGATATATCGTGCATCCCTAATAAAAATGCACTCTAAAATCTCTGTTGAACAGTTCAAATAACATTTTTTTTTATTCATTGGCAAGTCAGTCTTTCACATGAACATGAAAATACTAGCGTGTTTTTAAGACTTAATAGGAACATTGGATGAGATCTGTGGGAAGAAAACTCGTAGGATTTTCCAGTTAATTAAATGACAGTCTCACGTTTGCAAAGTTACGTCAAAAACAGCGTTACCTTTTGAACATTTAAGTTCCAACCCGTCAAACGCATAGCGCGACCACAGCTACGATGCTAGCACACTAGATCGATAGCGCTCCCATTGTAGTCAGTGGAGCGCACGTCAACTTTGTTACATGAAAGCGTTGTGTTTCAGGGACTTGAAACTTTCATAGTGGCGGCGGTGCATTGTTCACTTTGGAGGACCCAGCAGCTGTTACAGAAAAACTACACAGAAATATTTAAAATAGCCCAATAAAATGACCCAACATGCTGAACCCAGCATTTTTTAGTGTACACTCTAATTAATGCTGGGTTGTTTTAACCCAATTTTGGGTAAAATATGGACAAACCCAGCCCATTGGGTTAAAAATGTCATTTAAAATGTAACCCAATGGCTGGGTTTGTCCATATTTTACCCAAAATTGGGTTAAAACAACCCAGCATTTTTTAGAGTATATTACTGTATACCTCTGGAGCCCCTTTCATTGATCATTTGCCATTGATCAGACAAACAGCTTGTTCTGCCTCAAACTCACACCATTGGTTGAGCAAGTTGACATGCTGAATTGCTGAAAGAGACACAATGCAATGTTTTGAAAGTGTCTTTACTCTTCTGGAAAGCCAACATACAAATGGCTTACTTAGGAAATTCTGCACATTAAACTGCCATCGCAAATGTGTTTTAACATCCTGATGAATAATGGACCATCTGCCCCTTCATCCTGTTGTGACTTGACTTGAAAAAAAAGGTGTGTTTTAGGAAGAGTGACATGATATCACTGCTCACCAGCCTCCAACTATCAGCCAGATTCACAGTCTGCCCAGGATATGAGCTCATTCTCTCTTTATCAACCAGCGGGACAGCCCGTCGCTGCCTGTTTTATTGTTTTATACTGGCTTTATTACCATTGCAGAGACTCAATCAGAGCCTTTATCTGAAACTTTAGACATTCAAGCTAGACATGTGAGAATAGTTTTAACACTGTAGAGTGATTTTGTATTTTCATTTTGTGGTGTTTTTGTTTCCGGTCTCATTTTTATCGACGTATATGTAAATTAGGATCAGTGATTATTACACAACTTTTTGGAATTGTAGATTCTGATTATGAGTAATGCTTGATGTGCTAGTTTTCTTTTATTATTGCTGTATGGTATCTTATACTCAACAATGCTGCATTTTATTCGATCAAAAATATAATAAAAACAGTATAATATTGTTTTAATATTATATATATAGCTTAACAAAAATATTAAGCTAAATTAAACTGTTTTTAAAATTAAATATATATATAATATTAAAACGATATTATACAGTTTTTACTATATATATATAGTAAAATACTATATATACTATAGTATATAGTATATATACTTTAGTATATATACTACATAGTATGTATACTTATATATAGTAATATAGTATATATACTTTTACTATATATATATATATATAGCTTAACAAAAATATTAAGCTATAAATTAAACTGTTTTTAAAATTAAATATATATATATATAATATTAAAACAATTTTATACTGTTTTTACTATATATAGATATATATATAGCTTAACAAAAATATAAAGCTAAATTAAACTGTTTTTAAAATTATATATATATAATTATATATATATATATATATATATATATATATATATAAATCAATGCAAATACGCGTTA